TAAACCGCTTCTATTTTCTCTGGGTTTCTGATACAAAGCACACATGTAATATATTTTAAATGCTGTTTCAAACAGTACGTCATTATTATACATGTTTAGAAATGAATGGCTTCTAAAACACGTGTTTAATGAATTCAACATGCAGGGCAGTATCTAAGTATCAGCAGGCCTATCTCAGATGAAAGTTAAAAATGTTAGAACCACTGCCAATGGCTTGTGGTGTATTTTTCTTTTTCTGCAAATGAAAACTAGCATTAATCCTGCTTGTGTACTTGAGAGAGGAGGTGGAGAAAAGAGGATTTTTCTCTTGCTTTGCATTGTGTGCATCTTACAAACAGTGCCAGACAGATGGAGCCCGGAAGCTTTATACGAGAACAAAATCTCATCTGGGTATAAAGTTTGTGCTTCGAGAAAGGGGAAACTGGGATTCAGATATTTTAGAAGTGTAATAAAAGAGGTTTAAGACTTCAGTTCTGGGCATCATCCATCTACCATGATCAGAAAACCACTCATTCTCATGAGAGCTAATGCAGAGGCATAGGGCAACTGGTCCATTACAGGGTTCACAAACACACAAACACATGTACTCAAGTATGCAGGACAAATTAAATGCACTAATTAACGAAGCCAGCATGCCTGCTAGAGGTCTGGAAAACAGAGCTCTCAGAAAAAAAATGGGGGATAAAGTAAAAATGTGCAAATTCAGAGAACACGGCCCCAGTTCTAAATCGAATCTAGGACCTAAGAGTTGCAATAACCATCACACCATAGTCAAACACATCTTAATTGGGCATTACAAATATTAGGATATTTGCCAAAGTCATTTTTTTCATTGAACATTTTTATCGTTATATATTGCCAACATTATTTATGGGAGACGTAAGCACTCATCTCTGGGGAGGAATGAAAAACAGACCTATTGTTATAGTGTGCTGGTGCTAATACTATATGCTAAATATCAGTGATTAAGACACACGTACAATAATAGGGGTTTCACCAGCTTAAAAGTGTAAATTAACATCTGTTTTGTGATCATTCAAAGGTCCCTCTCTACCCCTCTATTATAAAGACTGTATACAAGTTTTCTTGTTTTTAAGAAGTGTTAAGACTACAGTAATACTGTACATTTAAAGACTGCATTTGCCATTAAGTAGAGAATCCACTCTGAAAGCTCTGATGCTTTTAAAAAGGAATGATTACATTGGAGCTTCATCCACAGATTTGTTTGGTAGTCAATGTCGATTTACACACTCAACCCATATTTGCAGTACTATAAATGAATAAATAAGAGAAGACATTATAGTATCAAACTTCATTCACTTTTACAGGTGAAAAACAGCTGTGCTGATTCCCTATCAAAAATGTAAGTTTTGTGTTACTTGATCTTGAGCTCATGAAGTATTTTAAGGCAGTGAAAAAGCAGACCTAGAATCGCAAAGATACGTTTGCAACAGTTGAATGGTTTATTATCACGAATGAGCAGCGTTCACATAGTATTCCTTAAACTACGCCACAAAAAAATCCTTGAAGAGATCCCTCACTGCAATCAAAACGGCAGAGAAATTTTGTGGAGGAGAAACACCAATGTAAACAGTAAATAATTGATGTTTGTGTGATCTGTGTTTGTGTGTTTGTGTGAAACAATGCCGATCTGCAGAGAATGCCTAGAGGTTCCTGCAGTGAACAAATAAATGTGAGTAATTAGTTGCAGGTCTAGCACCTGTTTTATTGTGTTTCCCTGTGCAATACGGAAATCAACAAAACATGCGCCGCCTTCCACACCCCAACCTACAGATTATTTATTAAAGGCACTTACTTTAATAACCAGTTTGATTAACCATCGCAACAGGTTATTACAATTCCTCCGCCCTTTAGAATTTTTTTTATTTGTGGTACTCCAGCTGCGGAGTGTGGACCCCATTTGGAATCCTGTCTGTATTCTAAAAAGTGCAGCCATTTATAAAACACACTACACAGAACATATCAACTGGCAAATAAACAGCTTTATTATAACTACACGTTTCAAAGTACACCAAATGGAAAACAAGAAATAGTCGATAATGGGCTACTTTAGCAGGTAGCTCAGTTAACATCTACTGTAGTTTTGAGCTTCTAGAGCACTCACTGGACCATAAGGGACAAAAGCTCTTTTTCCCTGCCACTGAAATACAGGATATGTGTTTTAGACAAAGCACAGCCCATGGGAAATGTTCAGCTGCTACTCACATTTTGCCCGTTCTGTATATGAAGTCTCCTTTGATAACCACATGTGCCAATTGATAGCAACCGAGGTCTAAGTGAGGACTAAACTTTCTATCTCCCAAAACACACGCACAGTTTGTGAAGAGGCTTTTAGCAATTTTGCTCCATGGTCTAGAATAAGATCTGTAATTACATGATTTTATATCCTCAAAATGGACTTCAAGTCAGTGCTGAGTAGTGGTCTGTAATCTGGACACATAACTGTAAGGAAGAGGGTTAAAATCCCAGGTGTAGCAGTGTTCTTGTACCCTCAAGTAAGGCAGTTTAATCAGTGTCCCAGTGTTGACGGTACCGTCTGTATAAATACAGTAGGCACTTTCCAGTTATAAAGATAAACTTTTCTTGTTATACAAAGGTTATTTTTATTAATATCGATTATTTTGTTTCTGACAAATATTCCTGTTTTAAATAAAAAGTAAAAGCAATGTGCTTTTAATAATGCAGAACTCTGCCACATTAAAATGAGCATCCTTCAGCATAAGAACAACAGTAACTAAACACTAATGGAGAGAACAGAGCAGTCACACATTTGTCTCACCAATACCTATGTGCCTCTTTCCTTGGATTTGTGCCTATGGGCCTGATGCAGAATGTCATACAGAAAACACTTTGTGCTTTGGACAAGGTACTACTTTGAGAATCTTGGATAACTCACCTATTTAAACAAGTAACTATATAAATATCCCGTGTTCTGCATTTACTGTCCTGGACCAGTAGGTGGCAATCTTGCACCCAGACCAAATTTTCAAAGCCAATACCCCAATATGGTGCTAGTGTACATCGTGGTGTGGAGGGCTCCATCCTTCAGATGAGACATTAAACTAGGGTCCTGACTACTTGGTCCATAAAGATCTCATTCTACTCTTGCTAAGATTGGGCTTTCCAACCCCGGTGTCCTGGGTAAATTCCACTCTATATTATACTAAATTATGCACCACACTTTTCTCCACAATTCCACTGATGAAGTGATTTCTCACTTATCCATCTGCTCTACTTTGTAGTGGCCCTAATGGCACAGAATGGCAGCTCCTAGGTGGATCAAGGACTTTGTGATCGAATGGGATTAAAAGCGCTTTGCAAATACATAAAATATAGTTATTTTTTACATTATACAATTTATGTTATTTTTATAGTATGTCTGTAAAATTTTACTACATCTCTCAGGGGCAGGTCTTGGGGATTTCCTTTTTTATGGAAAAAGGAAATTAATCATTTCTGATTAACTTATCTCACATCCATAATAGTACAGAATAAACATAAAATAAATTATTGATTTGAGGCAGCGAATATTTGGCCAGTTAATAAGCAGATAAGGTGCTTATCTTGGCATCTCTAAACTAACTATAAAACCCTGAATTAAAAAAATAAATTACCAATTAACAATCAATTGATAATCTTTGATTTGACATTTGACACTTAAGAAGTTTCCTGTCCTTTAAGTGTAGCTAAACCCCAATGCCAGTCTATTATAGTACGATCTGAAAATTGATTTGGTAAGGAATTGTCTTTTGTTTCATCATCTGCAAAATTTCTCTTTTCCGTGTCTGTGAAGATCGACAGTGAATATTATAAATTAAGTATCGTACATTTTTCAAACCGATATTAGGAAATGCTTGCATATCAATAACAAAACGGGACTCCTGTGCTGAACTAATGTTCTTCCCTTTGTGAGCAAAACGGACACTGAGTGGTCAACTCTTTTGAAATCATTATTCAGCGCAATTGATCTAGTTATAGCTGCAGATCACAAACGAATAAATCAGTGAGTATTATGCGAGAAGGTTTTATTGATTATTTGCTTTTGGACAGTAGATGTTGAAAACTTGCACTTTTTACACTCTCCTTTCACTATGTCATGAGAGGTGACAATAATGTTTTCTAAAGAACCACGCAAAGATAGGGATTTGACAGCACAGGTACAAGTACCGCTGCCAAAATGATCATTGTGCATTTGCCGTCGATAAACATCACAAGAGTATTCGTTTTCAATATACAAGTAGCAATATGAAGATCGGTACAGTAACCAAAGCATGGCACCCCAGCTTCTTATCAAATTCATCTCATACCCGACATACAGTAGTTTACTTAATCTCATAAAGATACTAAACGTCGAGTTTTAGAATATGTCTTAGCATATACAGTATAAACCTAAAATATTTCTACATTTGAAATTCGGATCAAATGCAATGAACTCACTTTTTTTCAAATATCCCTCACAGTTGCTTATACAGTAATGAGAGCAATCTAATAATACACTTCTTCACGTTTTTATGTTTCACAAGTCCACATATGCCCCGTCAAATGTTTGTAACACGCACACAGCACATGCCAGGACACTCTCGTGGAAATGCTGTGATCGAACTGTCGCGACTGTTCTGAATTGAAAATCGGAAAAAAAGGTGTCAGAACCGGCAGCACCTTGTAGTAATAAAGGAAAAGCGCAGAACGAAAGCGGTGTCTAATTTTCCTTCTATTAGTTACATCGCTCGAAGATTCCGACACCTACTTCTGTGGTAATTCCCATCGAGGGGTAGCACGCAACATGAACTAAGAACAAAATAACATGAGACCACATGGACCTACCCTGTAATTCCAAATCAAGGCTCGCATCAAATTAGATATATTCCCAAATTTAAATACGTTTTATGTTGAGCGGCAATTTAGACTACACTGTTATTCAATCAGCAATACAATAAGACGGGTTAAAACAAATAAGCAAACACGAAAAAATAACTTACCTTCAGCTAAAAGACGCATCGCGTGTACAAATGAGGGATCCAAGCTATCTTTTTCGGCCATCAGCTCTGGTAAGTATTTATCTTGATCCATTATTCCTCGCTCCCTCATTAATTGGCACTGCTGGCGCAGGTGATACAAAAAAAGTAATCAGTCTCACAATATGCACTCGGGCTCTGCTATGCAATTCTCTTTGCAGCCACTGAGAGAAATGCCGTAACGAATCTCCCCCAAATGATCAGTGTATGTATAAGACTTCACAGCTTAAAGCCCATCTCCCTCGCTCAGCTCGGCTCTCTCCTGTTGGATGTGGCCACCTTCGCTACTGGAGCGCTGCCTGCTTCCCGCCCCTTCAGAACATGATTGGTCATATCAAACGACAGACTGCATTCTCCGGCCACAACTGGTCGCGGCTCGGCTCCGGCGAAGTGATAGACAGTGGATCTTCAGCACCTTGAAGCTGCTGTCCGTGGTGCTGAGCGCTCACTACACGTGGGGAAGAGATGGAGAAAGACTTCAGTAAGTGGAGGCCCACATCATAATGACGAAATTATCATTATTATTATTATTCCTCCCACACTGCGAAGACAATACAACGATTTATAGATATGTAGTACAGAACTTGAGTTTAGTAATCTAATCATTATTGTCCGCCCGTTATACTGAATATTCCTGTTGGTCAAATGCAATTTGTTTCAAATTTACATACAAAATTGAATCCCCTGAAAATCAAAACGCAAAATGTTTAAGTACGTTATTTAACGTTAAAACGTTAAAAAATAACAATCCATGTAATCCATTAATAAATGTAAATCGTTTATTTTTAGTTATATCTCAACTAGTGGAGTGAAAATGAATTGATTTCATTACAATCGTTTTCAGTGTAGTTTTTATCTTGAGCCTCATGACCTCTTGCTTTGGTTTTTTGAAGCATGTCATTGTCGTTTACTACTATTTTTTATATTTTCTTCCTAAGGAATAAAAACGAGATGGTTTTAAAGTGGTTGTTCAAGTAATTGATATTTCTAAAAAAGTGAATAAAGCTGGTGCTGAGGGAGTAAATAGTGTTTTACAGACTCAAACAGAAATCCTAGCCCATTTAGAAACGTCCTCACCTTCCTTACACGGTACACATTAATCTCCCCATGAATGGAAAAAAAAGCCTGTACACTTGCTTGCATTGCTAGGATCTTACCAGAGACCTTGTGATGTGTTTTCTGTGCTGTGAGTGCTGCTCAGTTTAGTACAACGATGAATACTAATCAATGGATTTGTTGTATGCTCTGCCTTGCCAAGATGGATTAGAGCATGGTGACAGTCAGTCTAGGAGATGCAAAAAAGCAATGAATTTTAGACCAGTCTCCATTATGTTTGCAAACATCTGTACTTTGCTTATCACATAAATTGATAGCATAGATAATGTTTTTTTCCCCTAAATGTGTGCCTACTGATGTGCACTCTGCATATCTAACACTATGTAATGTGTTTATTCCATGCTGAAAAGAGAAGAAAGAAAACACAACTCAGCCTTCTTCAGGTGTGCTCACCCATGAATAAGTAATAAACCTTTACTTGTTCCATTGCAGCCTATGCATGTTGCATGTCCCCACCTGAACTACTATATAATGTGTGATTCTTGTCTATGTTTATATTCTCATCCAAAATACAGTGATATCCTTAAGTGAAATTGTATATTATATCTATGTTTTAATAACCAAAATATTGCATTTACAGAATTATTTCTTAAAAAAAGAAAAAAAAAAACAGAAATTGTCAAACAAATTTGTGGATTTATGAATGAAAGTAACACTGGGACATTCATTTAGAGGTACAAGGGTTATTTTTCTTAATATTCATATACATTTATTTTTGCACAAAAAATATTAAGTTATAAAGATAAATTGCCAAAAAGACTGCAAAATAAAAAACTGATAGAACTGTCCAGTTAAGGCCACTGTAACATCATTACTTTGACTATTTGTCAATGCTTACAGAATACACAGACAGACCATAGGTGATTCAGACATTCCAGAGGTCACCAGTTCATAGGCTTCTTTTTGGAAATTCATTTAAGTGCTGTAAATTTTTAAAATTTTAAAAATTTTTAAAAGGCATTATACTGTATCTTCCAAAGTTGGTGACAGCACAAACAATTTCAATTCCTATTAAAAGAAGCAAAGTATTCATAGGCTTACAGAAAAAACCTTCTGATGAAAGAATCTCTGGCAATCTACTACCCTCCCAGTAGTGATTCAATATCAATTAGGACCTGAACCCATCTACCTACGCTCCACGTGCTTAGAAAGATGGTCAGGACACAGATGAGATATGCAGCCATAGCAGATAAAATCCTGTTTTATATGGCTTTATGTTTCATGGTCTGAATTGATCAAAATGGGCCTCTGTTCTTTACTACTGTCTTTTATTTTGCCCAATTGATGACATACCAAAACTAATTTAAGACCGTTCATTTTACTTTAAATTAAATCTAAGTCAGAGATATTTAGATCATTTGTTGCTCTTTACAAATAACTTACACCAACATAAACCTAAAATCATGCAGTTGATGTCATGGCCCTTCACATATTAACTAAAAATGTTTGATGTTTGATGTTTTGATGTCTTACCACTCAAAATTGTCACTATGAAAGCTGAGCTAAGATTCATTTGAAAGTATTCTTTTCTTACATA